CTTATATATATTTCGATCATTAAAAATTTTGTACCTACAAAAATATCTTTTCTAATATATATATATATATATATATATATATATATATATATATATATGTGTGTGTGTGTGTGAAAAATATATAGAAAATAGGAGTCAATATATGTAGCGTGTTGGAATCATATTCTTAAATAAATAATTATATATATATATATATATATATATATATATATATATATATATACATTGCATACTGATAATATTTTTATTATCGTAATGTTAAATGATTGGGGTCGCACTAGTTGACAAGGGAATATGAGAACGCTGTTACAAAGAGTGGATATTCCGTCGGACTTATACTTAGTTAAAACATAATAATTGTTTTATTTTCTTCTTCCACTCTACGCCATCCAACGTCGATCTATAAACCCTTTCCGCATTAACAGATGGTAGTTAAGGACAAGAATTTTATTTTTGCTACCCAGCTCACAGGTACGTATACATGTTTTTAGGTAAGTGTGTATTTCACTGTCGGCGACTAAACCGGCTACCCCACTTCATGTTCCTGTGAGTGGGGCGGGTTGTTAGCAAATCAGTTGGACGAAAAATACGACCTAATAAAGGGAAGAGCTCTCGATGAGTCAACGGCCAGCTAACTAGAGATGGTGTCTCCATAAACCAACGTGGAGAAGGTAACGGGAAACCACTCTACTATTAATCTCAAGAAATATCATGACAATTAACAAACAAAATATGAAACCTAACGGCGTGAAGGGGGTTAAGTCTATGGGAATTAACTCCTCGCCTGGTAAGGACCGACATGTGCAACAGGTATCACCTGACCGTCATCTAGCGACTGTTAGTATAAACGGCGTAAAGGGGATAAAATTCCTCGGAACTGATCCCTCGCCTGGAAAGGAACGAAATGACCGTCATCCATAGACCGTTCGCATCAAACAAACAAAACACTCAGGATATGAAACGTTAGAGCGTTAAACAATTGTGATCTGTTGAAAAATGTAAAACAGGAGATGAGTAGGTTAATTGTCAACATTTTAGGTGTATGTGAAACTCGTTGGCCAAACAACGGAGATTTTGTCAGTGACAACCACAGGATTATATATGCAGGCGGAGAGAAAAATGAAAAAGGAGTTGGATTGATACTAGATCAAGACATAAAGAAATGCGTTCTGGGATACTGTCAGTTATCTGAAAGAATTCTTGTAGTTAAACTGAAAGAAAAGCCTTTCAACATATCTGTTATAAAAGTGTATGCACCTACAGCACAAAGTACGGAAGAAGAAATTTTATTTTTCTACTCTATGCTGGACAACACCAAGGCGCAGTGTAAATCACAAGAAATTATAATTATCATGGGAGACATGAATGCCAAAGTATGCAAGAAGAGGGGAGGGGAAATAGATGGCAAATATGGACTAGGAACCCACAACGAACGCGGAGAAAAAATGGGTTCAAACGTGCACGGTCAATTACCAGGTAATAGCCAACACTTGGTTCCAAGAACATCCAAAACGATTATCGAAACGGAGAAGGCCAAGAGGAGAAACTATAAACCAAATTGACTATATAACTCTCAACAAGAGATTTAGGAATGCAGTTGTTCACTGCAAAACCTAACCAAGTGCCAATTGCAGAAGCGACCGCCTCCCTTTTATATGTAAACTAAAAATGAAACTACGGAAACTGAAGAAGCCTAACACAACATCTAAATTGAAATACAACAGATTCCTGAACGATCCGAACCTGAAGGAAAAATATATGGACAGTGTGAAAAGAAGATACGAGGGACAAAATGGAAATAGAAACTCGAAATGGGACACACTAAGAGAAGCTTTAGTGACGTCAGTAAACGACATCATTCCAGAGGAAAATGGATGAAGAAGAAAAAGATCACAAATGAGATTCTCTACATGATGCAAAGGAGACAGGGAACAATGCCAAGATATGGAACGGAATACAGAAAATTACTCATTGAACTAAGAAACAAATGCAGATAGTCTAAAGAAGGAAAAATGTGCAGAAATAGAATGAGTATCACAGATAAAGGAGATATGCATAACAAAATAAAAGAAGACAAAAGACATGCTCATCAACAGGCTGCATAAAATCTAAGGGCGGAAAGCTCATATTAGAGAAAATAAAAATACTTCAGAGCTGGAACAAATACATCGGAAATCAGGCTAGAGATAGGATAAGAACAGTGCGGGTTCGTCAAAGACATCAGAACAAGAGACTCGATATTTATGCTCAGAAAGTTATCAAAAAGATCAATACAAATGCTGTGTTTTATAGAGTACGCAAAGGTGTTCGACAAAGTACGCTACAAGGATCTGTTAGAGCTGCTTAGCAACCTTGGCATATTCGGGAAAGACATTAGAATAATCAAAAACCTCTACTGGCAGCAAACCGTCAGCATACGGATAAAAATGAGTTCAGCAGATATACAAAAATAGAAAGAAGTGTAAGACAAGGTTGTGTCTTCTCGCCGGACTTATTTAACCTATATAGCGAGGTAATTTTGAGAGAACTCGAAATCTTGTCAGGATTCATCATTTGCGTGCACAACCTTAACAATATAAGGTATGTATATGATAGTAACTGTAGCAGACACGGAAAGGAAAGTACAAAACTTTCTACAGAAGGTAGCGAAGGAGAGCGACAGGATTAAGCATAAACTACAAGACAGAATGCAAGGTCACCAGAAAAAAGATGAACCCAAAATGCAAATTAAAGGTCGGGGATATTAAAATGAAGCACATACCGAAATTTAAACATTTGCGAAGTGTTCTAAAAAAGGACGGAATTTGCGACACTGAAATCCGAAGACGTATCGGGATGGCCAAAGATGCATTCCAAAAGCTAAGCAGGGTATTAAGAGACAGGAAAATTTCGTTGGAAACAAAGAAAAGAGTACTGAATGGTTACGTAAAATCTGTCGTCCTGTATGGCACCGAATGTTGGACAATCGCCTCAAAGATGAAGAAGAGACACGAAGCAACAGAAATGTGGTTCTGCAAAAGGATGCTAAGGATACCATGGGCCAAACATGTGAGTAATGATGAGGTTTTGGAGAGAATGAAAACAAAAATGAAACTTATGCTTAACATCAGGAAGAGGCTGTTGAAGTTACTGGGACACGTAATGAGGAAAGAGGGTTTGGAAAGTCTGATACTCACAGGACGGATAGAGGGAAAGCAACGCGTGACATACTTGATAGGGTTCAGCAAATGGATGGTAGAATAGGGTTTGGGAGAAATAATAAAAAGACAAAACTTATTAAGAGCGACAAGGGACAGGAAGTTGTGGCAGGCTATGACCACCTACATCCTGGGACACGTCACATCAAAGAAGAAGATAAACACTGCGAGTTTATATAATTATCATTCATGCTGACTGATCTCCCCTTCTTAGTATCGAAATATTCTGTTGTTATGATAACAAGAGAAATTACTCGACGCCGAAATGCGACGAAATGTTGTGTTGTCATAACAACGGAATATCTCTTTCGTCGGAAGAGGAAATCCGGCTGCCAATACATCGTTTTTCTTTTTAATTTTCTTTTCTATTTTTCATATTTCGTAATAGTTTTCTTTTGGATTTTTTTTTTTTACTGTTAATGCTTTAAGTAAAGATAATTATCTCTTATACAGAATTCATTGTATAGATAGAATTCCTAGATTACTCAAGCAGAATATATAACCAATCCAATTGATAAATTGTACAAAAACATTTCAGTCATTTTTTTAGAGAAAGCGTATAATTTTATTACCAGATTCCACCTTTGTCGAAAATGCTAGTTTTTCTTTTTCGGGAATAAGTCTTGAAAATTTATCCTGCGAGGCCCAAGTCGAAAGGGTACCTTTATTATTTTATCTTACTTAATTGTATGTTGTTTACTTTTTTATTTCATTTATTTTTTGCGAGTCAAAACTGGAGTACGTCTTCGCGGTCGGAGCGTCCTTGACGCCTGGAATACAATGGTTTAAAAAACATCACAATACACACACACACACACACACACACACATATATATATATACATATATATATATATATATATATATATATATATATATAATATATATATATATATATATATATATATATATATATAAAAAGAAGTTTGATTGAAAGAACTGACAAGTTCTGCTTATTTAATTTTATATTTTTTTTAACCTTCGAATAAAGTGTCCACAACTTGGAGCACAATAATCAACATCTTATTTGAAGGCTGAAAAATATAATAAAAAAAACAGAACAAGCAATAATATTGTCACTTCTTTTTTATTTTAATCAAACCAATTTGGACGAATACTTGCTACCTAAAAATACCTTATATATATATATATATATATATATATATATATATATATATATATATATATATATATATATATATTCATTATTCAAACATGTTTCATTGAATAATATAGACATTATGTCTATTTTATAATAATCTTTCTAGTTCTCTAATCAGTTTCTTGATGTTAAGATGAAATTCAGCAAGGAAGGCGTCGTAGTTTTTTCCTACAGATGTCCTTTCGATCTCTTCCGAAATCATCCCCGGGGGGAATTAAAAAAAAAAAAACTTATTGTAACTGTGATCGTTGTGATTGTGATTTTTAAAAACACGCGTGAATGCGCTCAGTTTATATGTTTGAATGAAAATATGCTGCTAAATACACACACACACACATAAATATATATATATATATATATATATATATATATATATATATATATATATATATATATATATAAGCAGTTCATGAACATTTTTATACGATATTATATCTTATTACTATAAACATTACATTTACTGGGAACACGTGCTTGAGTAGCCATTAATATCTATCGGCCTAAAGATCGACATTTTCTTAAGACTCTCGATTTCTGATTTCTAAAAAATAGGCATTAATTTCACTAACAGAGGGATGTCCGCTCAAACACGTGTACCTACTAAATATAACATTTTATAGTAGTATATATTGCGCGCGTGTGTTAGTTAGAGAGAGAGAGGGAGAGAGAGAGAGAAAGAGAATGAAAGAAAGAGAGAGGGAGAAAAAGAGAAAAAGAGAAAGAGAAAGAGAATGAAAGAAAGAGAGAGGGGAGAAAGAGAAAGAGAGAAAGAGAATGAAAAAAAAAGAGAGAAAAAAAAGAGAGAGAGAAAGAGAATGAAAGAAAGAGAGAGGGAGAAAAAGAGAGAGAGAGAAAGAGAATGAAAGAAAGAGAGAGGGAGAAAAAGAGAGAGAGAGAAAGAGAATGAAAAAGAAAGAGAGAGGGAGAAAAATAGAGAGAGAGAGAAAAAAAAAAGAGAAAAAATTTAAGAGAGAGGGAGAAAAGAGAGAGAGAGAGAGAGAAAGAGAAAGAGAATGAAAGAAAGAGAGAGGGAGAAAAAGAGAGAGAGAGAGAAAGAGAAAGAGAATGAAAGAAAGAGAGAGGGAGAAAAAGAGAGAGAGAGAGTATGTCTGAAACAGTGGACGGATTGTATGTGTATCTGTTAAATTCATACGCAAGTTCTTACCTGTGAAAGTTGAACTCGTAAATATCCTCACGATTTTGGATCCTAAAGACGGTAGATTTTGGAGGCTACCACACAGAAGACGATAAAGGCGTTCTTTTCGTTCTCGTTCAATACGTTCCTTTTCTTCAATCTCCTCACGACTAAGTTCTGGCTCCTCTTCTTCAACCGGCGAGCTCATTTTCGAAAAAAAGAATTAAAAAAAAAAAACAAAAAAAACCTTCGGCTTTCAACCAAAAGCTTTTACAAAAATCAACTTTCCTTTTTTAATAAAATAAAGAGTAGAATGAATGCTATTCCTTAACACGTCCAGAACCAACGTAGCGGACGGATAGTTATAAACTCTAATCATTAGCACTTCAACTGGTTGTATATTAATTGTTAATTGTGGAAGGAGAACTGTTTGTATGGTAATCCTAAATCTTTTTTCTCCTCTGACAACGCCTGCATATGGTTTCTTTGATCCCTCCCTCTCCCCCTCTTATTTTCTCTTTCTCTTAATATATATTTTATAACTTGCTTTTCCTTTAGCGTCTATACGTACTCTTTGTCAGGTGAAGGTCGCTTGCTTTTTATCAACGTTTTGTTTCTTTTATTTATTTATATTTTTTTACTGTGTCTCTCTCGTGTCCCTCATATCGAACTGGTGGGGACATCCACAACAATTTTAAATTTATTTAGCTTTATCGGTTTGTTAGTTTGTAAATGCTTTCACGAGATGGAGTGAATGGCAATTGAACTGATGTCAACAGACCGATGATTAGATTAATATAATTTGAAAGGCTGGTACAAGGCTATGTTCATGGAATAATGACATGGCTCAAATGTCAATTTTGTTTTTGAGACTAGCTCATCAATGTACTGGGAACATAGATAAATAGACAAACTATCTGATGGCACAAACGAAAGAACGGTATTTAGTCACCCCCCCCCACGAGGGCATCATGTGGCACAAGGCCGGTTTAACGTGGGATCTCCGGGCCCGTGAACTCGGCCAAAAATATGCCTTTTGAACCCGTATAAACGGGTTCAGGGTCGGTTTTACCTCCCCGAAAGAGACTCCGCCCTACGGCATAGTCTCTTTCGGGTTCCTCCCCGCCCGAAGGCAGAGAGTTCAATCGATCAGCCGATCAGCCGGCCCAAACGAAAGAACTGCCTGAGAAATATTTGTATTTAAGACAAACAAATATAAAATTTGTCACAAAGCTGATTGATGTTACATTCAGCTTCCTGACTCTAGAATTTCGTAAGCGGACCCTCCAGCAATCCACTCTTCAGAGGATAGTTTTAAGGTATGCTATATTTATGTGTAAAAGCACTCAATATCAGAGATAGAGCGTATGTAAATATAAAAGGGAAAACCGGGGTCAACACCAAGAGGCAACAGTCTGTTTCATGCTTGAATATATCCAAATATAGGATTGGTGTATGCGGAATAAATTTCAATAACCATCAAATACTATTCTTAAAAGAGTGCTCAATACAGAGTAGAACAAATATAATTATTTATTCGAAAATTATAACATAAATATGTTATAAAATCACTACAAAAATAGCCATTTTGTTTCAACATTTCTGGTGTCTTATCAAGTGATGGTATCGAATGTAGAATAAACCCTTTATTCTACATTCAACACCATCACTTGTAGTGATTTTATAACATATTTATGTTATAATTGTCGAATAAATAATTTATATATATATATATATATATATATATATATATATATATATATATATATATATATAGAGAGAGAGAGAGAGAGATGTATAATATAGTATTTGTTCAGTTGATTTCTTCTTTCCTTTTCTATTTTCTATCTATCTATCTATCTATCTATCTATCTATCTATCTCTCTCTCTCTCTCTCTCTATCTATATATATATATATATATATATATATATATTAGGTTATTTAACAGCAAGTTTTCATTTATGATCCGTTGATTAAACACCAACGAAGATTATTTTTTATTTATTTTCTCAATATTTCTAATAACTTTTTGATTTCCGGTTGGTATTGACAAATGTAGCTTTTATCGCGAAATGCGACAAATGCCAACCTGATAATCGAAATACTTAGATGTGGGATGTTTTATTTAGAAATACCAACCGGAAATAAAAAAAACAACAACTTATTAGAAATATTTAAAAAGTAAATAAAAAGACAATTAACGCGGAACTTCCGTTGGTTTTAATCACACACACACACACACACACACGTGTGTGTGTCTTTATATATATATATATATATATATATATATATATATATATATATATATATATATTATATATAGTTGTATATTTAGGCAAATCCTTCCTTTATGCATGTTTCATTAAAAACAACAGACAAGGTACTACATTTAAAAAACAATTTAATTTTTTCTTGTGTTCTAACAAGAGCTTTCTTTTCTGGACAAAGGGTGTGTCCCTGATCAAACCGGACTCATAAATAATTACATCGATTACACAACCACATGCTTATCCAGACGTCTTACGTTACACCTATCTGATCACAGCTCCATTAGAACCCATTTGAACACACACACAGATTTACCCAATTCCATTAGAAACATACTAGTAGAAAACACAAATATATTAACTGCATCCACCTGCAAAAAAAAGACTAAAAATAATGGAAGCTTTAATAATAAAAAAGAAAAAGCCAACTCTTAACAATATTAACTACGAACAAAGCCACAATGTGCTAACCGTATTCGGAAATTAAAAACATCCCTACCACACACTGATACATACACAGAATGCACACACTCAACTAAGCTGAAAATCGAATCATCCTTGATAATGGATAGCCGAAAGCGCTCAGAAATATAAAACATTCGGGCAGTTCTTACACACCCTTTGTACAGAAAAGAAAGCTCTTGTTAGAACACAAGAAAAGTTAAATAAAAATGCTTAACCGTAGTACCTTGGCTGTTGTTTTTAATGAAAAATGCATAATATATATATATATATATATATATATATATATTTCTTTTTATTAAAAATGTTACTTTTAGTGGATACACGTATCTGAGTAGATATTCTTGTTTTGTAAATAGTGAAATAATTAATGTCTACCGGCCTAAAGATCGAAAGTTTCAATCAAGAAAATTAACTTCCTCACCTGATCGAGACTATATACCCCCTTTTTTTTATCTGGGAATAATGTAATAATTTCTTAATATTTAAAATAGATAGATTGTAACATGCTTAGATAGATAGATAGATAGATAGATAGATAGATAGATAGATATGGATACACATATAAATACTAATAGACTAAGATCAGCAATATTTGAGCTTCGGAATAAGTACAAATAAAATAATTTTTTGTTGTCAAGATACCAATTTTTGTGGTAACAAAAATAAATAACACAAAATTAACCATCAGAGAAAATTCTATTACCAACCTGATGCAAAATTTCGTTGCCTGTCATATTTATTTAATTAATGTCACTTTATTAAATCCTAGCTTGACAAACTTCATTTACTACATTTGTTTGTCGATTCGTTTGGCCGTCTTTGCTTTTTGTATTTGTGTGTGTCATGTACTGTTACAACAATGAACTATATAAATTTGTTGGTAGTGTAAATTAACGAAGCTGCAAGAAAATTCATACAGCACTATATATATATATATATATATATATATATATATATATATATATATATATATATATATATAAGATAAAAAATCTAAACAAAAACCATGAAACAGAAAAAAGAGAGAAACGAAAAAACATTACATGGACAGGTGGAGGGTCGAGCAGCAGGACGGGTGTGGTCAAACTTCCGACTGTTCAGCCTTAGATGATTGTTGATATGCAGGTACCAACTTGATAAGAGAAAGGGCCAACTCACTCGCACACTCACTCACTCTTTCTTCTGTAGACATGTGTGTTAGTCTACTTGTCAGTTAACTATCCACTTTTCTTACCCGATTTCATTGCCTGTTTGCCTGCCTGGGAACTATCGAATCCCTTTCTCGCCACTCTGGCTGCAGGCTTATTTAACACGTTTCGGCTGAGCGAACGAATCATTCAAGTGTGATGGCTATTAAAGCTAGACTTTAAACGATTGGCCAGAGCTTGTGAAAGTGAAAATCAATACCTGTTATGTGAGGGGAGTTATGATCAAACCAAATGCACTACAAGTGTTAAGAAAAACCTTGAAATACAATTAAATAGCAATGAATAAATAAAAACAGTGCTGCGATTGTTGAAAAGTTCTCAGTAACACCAAGAAGAGATTCCAAATGAGATTCCGATGTTTGGTGAGACTCGGGGAAGTAGAGCGAGCCGAGAGCTTTTCAGCACCTTCTCATCTGTAAAAGGGCCATGTCTCCATTTTAACCACTTGAACGCAGCTGACGAGATATTTAGGGGGGAATTTCAAATGAAAACTGTTATTTTAAAAGACTTGACTATCCTACTACTACACACACACACACACGCACACACACACACACACACACACACACACTCACACACAAAAAAAAATTTCTAAAACACCTCAACAATTTCTGAAATATAACGTTAATTCTTCTGCTGCCACCTAATTTAAAGACAATTTGATGTATGTAAGTCCTTACTTTCCGTACGAACAATTATTTTTATTTCATGGGTGACTTTCGCTGGATTTCGCAATTATTTTCGATTATTCCCAAAGTCATTTCCAAGTTATAAAAATTGTTATATCTATCTTTCAATAGCTCATGTTCAAATGAAAAAAATTACTGTTCCCAAATTACAGTGTTTCAAAATAAAATTGTCCGTGTTTTCAACTTTACTTCTAGAGGCCGTAACCCAACATATCATACCATTTTGTACTAAGGCCGACTCTGTGAGCAAATTAAAAACATTTCAGGCCGGATTCGAACCCGCAATCCTGAAATTTGGGATTCACAAGTTTTCATTATTGCAATTGTTTGGGGCGATTTTTTACCTGATTTTTGAGACGATTTTTTTTTTTTTGTAAGATAACAATTTTTATAAAATATAATTATAATGACACCATATCAAGAAGGAGTGTGAATAACATTAGAGTAACAGTCCAAGTGAAACTAGCAAGAGTACCTGGAACGAGATATCTGACGTGACATTACCTTGTTGCTGTGTCTTCCTATTTTGACATTAAAGTGGATTCAAGGAAATTTGTACAGTGATGAGAACAGTGATTGATCTGTAGCAGCTGACGAGATATTTTTTTCTGATATCATTTCAAATAAAACGAATAATTGTCGAAATTAAGACAGGCTATCAAAAAAAAAAATTTAATGGCTCTTTACAAATCATTATAATCCAAAGATGGCGAAGACTATGAGACCAGAAAAAATCGACTCTTTAGCTGTTAATAACAAACATACGAGTTAAAATTCTGCTTAGAATTTGATAATGAAAAGAATAAAAAAAGATAATGAATGGTAATAAAGAATCTAAAGGAAAAACAAACGCTGTAACAAACCACATACACTTGTATGTATGTATATATATATATATATATATATATATATGTGTGTGTGTGTGAGTGTGTGTGTGTGTGTTTTCTGTGTATAAGTCGACATTTGATTATGGGTTAATTTTTTGGGCTAGTTTACCCAATCCAAGGCCCATCGGCCACCCAAGGTAGAGCGTTACTAACTGAGATTGTTATAATGTAGGGAAGGAGAAAGTAAGAAATGCATATTATGAGGACGTATAGGATAGATATCGGTTGACCCTGGACTTAAAAAGACCAATATTATAGCTGTCAGAGAAGCATCCTCTTGGGAGTCTATTAAAAAAAAAATCAGTTCTGTGAAAGAAACTGTCTCAGTGGAACCTGCTCCTTATCAAAGCAACAAGAAGGGAATGGGGATAGTTCACTACCGTAAAAATGGCATGTCGGGTCCGAGTTGTGAAGGTCTGGATTGGTGGAACTCGTCCGAACATCTGCCATAGTAATTAGCGATAGAGTAGTGAGAGGCTACCAACGTTTCGTGTGTGGGGTAAGCTTTGCTGGGTGGATAATAATCATCAGACACAAGGCCGCTTTTGAACTCTGTCGAGGCTGGTGGGTGAAGATTGGACAGTACCATCCCGATATGGAAACAATACTCCATTCATGGTCTGATCTGACTCTTTTAAAGATAAAACATGGTACGAATATATGCGTTCCATTTGTGGTCGGGAGTGATTTATAAAACCAATAGGCGTTCGAGTATTTGACCACTCATCAGGACTGGTGCAGAGTCTGCTAGGTGGTGATGAAATGTTACTGGTTTAGTTTTTGCATAGTGTAATGTACAGTTAATCCAAATCAAAGGGCCCCAACTACCTAACTACAGACAGAAGTAAATAAACAGTGGAAAAAAAGACTAGCTACCGTGACCTTTAATCTGTTGAGCGATGACACATTCCAAATACATTACTATCATATACTTGCCGTACTAACAATTGAACCATCACATATTGGTCGATTCCAGTTATTTTTCCGGGTAAATCAATCAACATGCGTTTCGCGACTTAAGACTTGCTATGGATGAGCGGGTAGTATGAAGGTTATCAGCGAAGAAAATGCACTTGGCAGACCGAGTTCAAATCCTGGTCAAGGCTGTTACATTCAATTCACTTTAAAAGTAAAGGAAGAGGTTGCCTATGAAAGAGGGCTATCGACATTTTTATGTCAGTAACCCAATACATCATTGATATAAAGCTTTCTTTAGAAAGCTTTATTTTACAAGAATACAAGGCGATAAAGGTAATCCGATGTTGAATAGTCCTGAGTATGACGATAAACAACATCCGGCAGTAAGACCTCTGATCGGGAAATTGAAGGATTTAAGGAGCGTGGAATCATTTATTAACTGTTGTTGTTCCCAGATCCACCCTGACCCGAGTGATAGCACCTGTTAGGGTCCCAGTTATGGGCAAATAGTAACCCAAAATCAAAAACAAAATACTATGAAAGTATAAAAATACATTTTATAGTAAAAATACCCGCAATTCATTTTTATATAAAAAGATTACTAACAATATATATTGATAGCAAAATTACCGACAATACATTTTATCTGTAGTTGAAGGCATACAATTGCGTTCAAAATACTTAGATTTTGACATAAAATAACTCATAGAGGTTGATATGATGCTAAACAAAATAAAACAACCAAACAAAATAAACCAAATCGATGTTGAATCCAACTACGTTCTGGCAATTCCTATAACGACACTGGCGCCAAGCAATATCGGCTCCTGCCCTTCACTTGGACGACATTGGTGATGTAGATAGGGGGGGGGACGTGCTATATAGGCAACTTTCAATCTATCATAAAAAATCTTACTTATGCCCTTGCCCCAGAGAAGACATACCAGCCTTACCTCAACAGCTGAATTTAAAAAGAGCACACTAACCGCAGATTCATTGTCCCTGTAGACCAGTGTTTCTCAACTTTTTTTTTTTTTTTTTTTACTTTTGGGCGCAGTTGTAGAATAACAAAAAACTCTGAACCGCACTTTAAATTTTAATAAGAAAAGATTAGTCGTGAAATTGGAAAATAGGAAGATAATAAAGAAATTTCTTGAAGTGAACATTTATTTTTACGATATTACATTGTATGTTGATGTAGTAAAGTTTTCATTTCAAGGGATTTACGATTTTGGTTTTTGGTTTGGTTTGTTCTACAGCATATCAACCTCAATAGGTTATTTAATGAATTGAATCTAGATAAATAAAGCGCAGTGCACGTGTGCCCGTCCGTCCGTCCGTTTTTCGATCTCGACCTAACCTGAAGTAACATGCGATTAAAAATTAAAGAAATAACTTATTTAAAGTTAAATTTAAATATCGAACAGAGTGAAAGGTTTAAGAAAACAATCCTTTATTAAAGGTTTAACATTAATTTTGCTTTACATCGCAATTGCAATTGATATTGTATAATTAAACCGTAATTAAAAATTTAAGAGGGGTACGGTACGTTGCTCATATGTTAGTTTTTTTCTTTTTCTATCAAGCGTACTGTGACGTATTCGAAATATTACATAGTTCGAGTTCCTTAACGTCTTTTAAGAATGACTTTATGTGAAGATATCATAAAGAATGGTGATTTTAAAAGAAAAGAAAAATTGCGCACGCAAAAAATGTAAACAGACTACGGAGATCGGTTGCGTATACGAAGAAAGATTATACCGAATTAAGGTGTCGAATAAAGATAAAATAATTTTATTATTTCTAAATTTTTATAACTTTTACGTACATAGGAAACTGAAGGTAAAAGGCTGAAGGCCTAGAAGCCCTCCGCAGATGCTAGCCTAAAGTCCACCCGAACGGCGGTTTCTAGGCTAGTCGGTAATAAATATACTGTTAAAGTTCAGCCATATGAACCGATGAGTCCACATAAGGAGTTCTACTTCGATTCTACTTCAAGTCGAAAGAGAGGAAAAGCGGTAAATTCTGTTTGGGTTTTTCAGATAAACGATGTTTTTTTTTTTTTTTTTCTCGGCTCGACAAGATAATAGTGGCAATGTTGAGGCTTGATAAGAATCAAGTAGCCACTTGTAATTGACAAATGATCGCGATAAAATAAATTCATTGGGTGACAAAAATCATCCCGACAGCTCTGACGATTCTCAGTGGAGCGAGTGGAAAGGAAGAAAAAAAAATAAGAAAGTGCTACTTATAGATTACACTCACATACAATGACTTCTCCGTCTGTCTGTCTATATGTCTGTCTGCTTGTCTCTTGGGTCGACTAATATTCTAAAGACCGTGTAACTTTAAAACCTAAGAACAAATTCATCAATCAAAAATAGTTGCTGTCAGAAGTCCTGAGATGATTAATATACACTGATTTATTCGAACTAGTGTCCTCATCTTGGTTGTTACATTATTAATTGATTCGTTTCTTACGGTTTATCAATCCTTTGCAGGTTATTTAAAATCAGAAAATATTTTTAGATTGTAAGAAATATGTTAAGATAATAATGGTTTAATGATACAAATAATGGTTTAATGATACAAATAAATATCTATAAACACACATACATCCAGTTTTAAAGGTATTTGAATATAGAAACTATTACATGTCTATATAATCCCAGATATTGAACATAACCAGAAGTATGGATAAAAGAATTTGATTAAAACCATTTGGACAATATCTATTTTTGTGAAACCAAAGAAAATGCTCTTTTGTGTCTACTACTACGTCTACAAACAAGGTATAAATAAGAAGGACAATGTATCCAATAGCCAGTTCATTCAATAGTACATGTTCTGGTAACAGTTGGAGTAATAGTCCAAGTCAAAGTAGTAAGAAGAGTCATTAAGAAATTTTTTTGTATCTGGTCTATTTCCTGTCAAATGAAAACTGTTATTTTAAAAGACTTGACTATCCTACCACCAAAAAAAAAAAAAAAAAAAAAAACATGTAAAACACCTCAACAATTTCTGAAATATAAATATAATGACACTATATCAAGGACGTGTGTGAGTAACAGTTAGAGTAACAGTCCAAGTTAAAGTAGCTAGAAATCTTCCTGTATCTAGTTCATTTCTTGTAATATAAAATCTGACTTCAAAGAAGGAACAATGTATTAAATAGTCATAATGCTCTCTGTTAGGTAAACAAGAAACATTATGATTGGTTGATTCATTTTCTACGGCTTATCAAACTATTGCAAGTTATTTAAAGCCAGAAAATATTTTTAGATTGTAAGAATATTTTAATTGTACGAGTTATTTTTTTAAGTAATAATGCTTTAGTGATACAATTCTTACTAATCAACGCATAGCTGGGGGAAGAAGAAAAGGATTTATAACTTTCCAAATGGTATTAGCACGTGAAACTTGGCTTCCGATCAACAATTCCAAGCCATTATCCAATACACCACCCGCATATCCAAGCTGATATTTCCAAGCGGTCACCCATCTAGTTACTGACCAGGCTCGACGGTGCTTAACTTGGTAATCGGTGATCGTACGGGAATCGGTGTTTTAACGTGATGTGGCCGTAAACCTTTGGTTGTTACAGTCATAAATTTTGATTATTTCTGAGATAAAGAATTATTATTATTATCTGTTCTTCCATGCGGTTTTTCGTTTTCGTTTTTCTTGCATTATGTGTGTTCTCCATCAAGTCGTACGACCACAAAGAGATGCCATCGTTCGTAGAATATTTGCAGAGCCGAGCAACGCAGACTTTTGAAGCGATGGGATACTAGACTTTATTCCGATTTTCTTAATGTAGGCCCAGTAGTTATAGACCCCAACATGTTTGGATTTTGAAATCCCATATCTTGACCTGGTCGTTTTTGATCACATCTGAGCTATTATCCATTACACCAATCTGACTTGTTATTCCCAAGAGGTCACCCATCTAGGTACTGACCAGGTTCGACGGTGCTTAACTTCCGTGATCGTATGGAAACCGATGCTTCAACGTGATGCGACCCTAAGCCTTTGTTTGGTACAGTCATAAAATTTTGATTATTTCTGAGATAAAAATGATTATTATTTTTATTATTATTATTAGCTTCGGTTCTTCCGCGCGGCATTTTTGCTTTCAAACGAAGATCTTGCATTATGAGTGTTCTCCATGAATTCTTAAAACCTCAAACAGATTGCATCGTTCGTAGAATATTTGAAGAACCAAGCAACGCAGACTTCTGAAGCGATGGGATACTAGGCTTTATTCCGATTTTCTTAACGTGGGTCTTTATGTTCCATGGTATAGACCCCCAACGTGGTCTGTTTGGATGATAATATCCCATAATGCCATGACTTGGTCGTTTTCGACCACCTCTGGTTTGTAGCGGTATCATTTCTGTTCGACTTCAAATTCATAATTCCTACATAGGCAACAATATAAACAGCATATGGTGTTCATTGTAAGTAAGAAGTGTATTTTCACCTCATCACTTGTGACTTAAGAAAATAAATCGATCATTTCTTTCCGCCTCCAACAATTTCCAAAGTACCCTTGCTGTACCAATCAAATCAGGTTTTTTTTTGTAATAGCTCTGTTTTCAAATCGCAATCAAATATCAGCAAGATTTTTTCCTTGTTTTTCGTACAATATCCCAGTGATCCAGTAATTACTGTTACTGCAATTACTTTCTTTTCTAGTCCTTCCCAAACTTTCAGAATTTTATAATTTAAATCGTTGTAGCTGCCAATTTTTGTTGTGTTCAATTCACATGTCAAATTCTATTGGGTAGCAAGTCTTTATTTCTCTGTTTGTCCAGTGTTACGGACAATTACTGAAGCATAAAATTTAAAAAGAAAAGATTAAAAAAAAAACAAAACAACTTTTCGTCAAGAAGATGACCAGATTTATCATTTCACAAGGGAACGGATTCTCTACAGGTTCAAATACACGAATGAGGAGAAACATACCACACTAACAGACAACAAACGCCAATACAGAAATTAGCAAGATTTAATTATGACGAGACGATACATGAAAACATTAATGCAAGGAAAGGTGTGTGCTAAATATTTCTATATGGAAAGATGTATGCGTTTGATGTCTGTTCTGGAAAGTAGAAATTCACTTTGCTTTGGCTAATCACCTGAAATAAAATAGGGTTTTCTCGTTTCCCTTTTCTCTCTCTGTATGTTATCTTATATTTGATGTAATAGAATAACCAGTCACCCCCTATGAATGCTTGCACTATAAAGTCAACCGTCTACGAGAGACTCGAGAGGAGGTGAGAGTTAGACGACGGAAGCACGTCCGACCTTCCAGTTAGTGGCACTCACTACTAGATTGACCTGTGTGCATAACTGTACCGTATGTTAGAATTTTTGGGTACCTTTGTACTAGTGAGACAACCAAAATGAGCTGACTCATTTTATAGTCCACCAAGAGAAGGGTTAACCAATCAGAAAGCTCAAAATATTCAATCCGACGTGTATAAAGGCGGCCATTTTGTTTTTTCTCCAAAAAAATATCTTCACTGCCAACCTCTGATATCGAAGACCTGAAGAATTACTGAACAGCTGCTACTTTCTCCGAATATTCACTGCCAACCTCTGATATCGAAGACCTGAAGAATTACAGGACCGCTGCTACTAGTGATATTGGCGTTGTTCCATTGAACACATTACGTACGGCACTGGATTCTATATTCAAAGACTACGGCAAACATGGTTAACACCGTATGTTATATTGTACTTGTGTAGAATCAAACTTCTTCTAATATCCATCTAGTGTTACCTATTTATTCACTTAGCACGGAATATAACAACATTTCTCTCTTGTTCTTTTTACTTTCAGTCCAGTTCTTTTCGCTAGGGCAGCGATATCTACTGATATATTGTTTTTTCTTCAATGTTGTGAGTTTTGACGCCAAAAGCTGGCCGTTTACTCACTTCTTCATATATTCAGCAATGTAGAATTTATTATTCATTTAGAAAAATTCGACGCTGTATGAGTTGTATTCCTTCGTGGGTCACACACGCCTGTCTTAGGTGATTATTATTCACCTTTGCATTTGATGTAAGCAACATAATGTGTTGAGCTGAACTGGAACTCGTCTTCATCCTGTGATTTCCTTTGCTTGACGGTAACAAGTAAAAAGAGATGTTACTCACACAAGAATCGGTTTCCAAATAATTCCTGTCAGCCTTTTCCTGCTTAACGTTCGTATTTGATCACGTGATTCTGCACGTGTGAGAATCTAATTTTAGCTTTCGCCTGTTACTGGGGTCACCAGCCTGTCTTGATCTGATTTTTCTTGTAGTCAACGACTACTATTATGGATCGAAAGAGGGAGAAGTAGCCATTGTATTATATTATTACAGATGTGAAAATGAGATGATTCGCTAAGTGTAAAATGTGTGAAGTTAGGGGTTTGGTGCTGTCTAAAGATATATAGTAAGACTAAATCTGATGTAGTGGGATCTAAAATTATCACGACCTGTATTGGAATTTTTCTGCTTCTCTATGCCGCTTTCCTTCAGGATGTGGGTGATCGTGACTCCCCACAACTTCCTGTCCTTTGTATCTCCTAGTACGGTCTGTCTTTTCGCCATCCCTCCCACTCGCTGTCCTGCTAACCATTTAAACGAGCTTTTTAGGTAGTTAACTCGCTATTTCTCATTGTACCGCTTGCCTTCAATATGGCATATGAGTGTTAAATTCTCCAAACCCTCTTACCTCATTATGTCCTACAAATTTCAACGCTCTTTTGATTTTAAATACGAGTGTTCTTTTTGTTGCCTTTTTCCTTAAAACTTCCTTCTTACTCACATGTTCAGCCCATCGTATTCTCAACATCTTTTTCTAGAACCACATTGCCTCGAGTCACTTCCCACTCTTTTTTATTCTCCAGCACTTTCTTCCTTTTTATCACCACAGGTTTATAATACTTGGCATTACATTCAAACCCGTGCTTATTATTGCTGATATTATTATTATTGTTATTATTATTATTATTCACTGGTTTATATAAACTGGTAACCCATCTTCGATATTACAGTCGCTATGGTTGCGTTATTTCTAAGATGAATTATTATAATTATACACTGATTTATTTGAACTGCTATCTTCAACTTGGTTATTATAGTAAAAATGTTTCAGTTATTTATGAGATGAACAATTATTATTATTATTATTATTATTATATACTAATTTATTTCAACTAGTACCCTCACCTTGGTTGTTATAGTCACAATGTTACAGTTATTTCTGAGACGAGGCATTATCATTATTATACACTGTTTGATTTGAACTGGTATCTTCCTCTTGGTTGTATAGTCACATTATTTCAGTTATTTCTTGGACGAGAAATTATAATTATTATACATTTTTTTATTCGAATTGGTGTTCCCCTCATGATTATTATAATCACGTCTCCTGGACTTGTATCTTCCAGTTTATCGTATTTGGTAAACTTGTGGAAATTTTATAATTAAGGCCTTTATTCAGTCAAAGGAGCTATATTGTTTCAATTCTACTTTTCATCTTAGAGTATATCTCGTGTCATTTAATCCATTCTTCTAGTGTCACTTTTGAAATCACACATAATAATTATCTCGGAATAATTAACTAATGCAAGGTATTCTTTATGTGTATATCCGGATGTGAACAAATGAACAGTCAAAAGTTCCAAATAACCAGATGGTCCCTGGATGCGATGAAACCTTGAAAATCACCGGATTATACAATTGCAGAAACATGTCGATTACAATCACAATAGGGGCTCCACTTCGAAACAGTGTATAATAATAAAAACGTTTTCTTTTTTATCTATACATTTACATCTGTGACATCCTGTTACACCGACATGAATAGAACCCCTTAAGTTTACTTCATTTTTCTCAGGGAAGCGGGAATCCGCAGAAAAAGCAAAGTAATTTACGGAGAATTTAACAAACAGAAAGAAAATATCACGACCAGAAACTACGGGCATGGCTACGCGGAGGACATCTGAATATAGAAACGAATTCTCTCACCATCGCAGCTCTGAACAAGTGTAACGCATCAGAATGAAACCCTAGAGAAATAACAGATGATACAATTGTGGAGAGATTTGAAAGAGAAAAAAAAAACACATCAGTAAATGTAGAAACTGACATCAAAAGAATACAAATTAAAACATGACAGGGTAAAAGTCGTACACTAGGAATTGTGCAAATGGTTTTAATTAATCTAAAACATGATATCAGCACAAACCAGAAACTGTACTGGAAAACAAAAATGATAAAATACTTTGTGATTTCGACATCCAGGCCAACTAACCCACCCAGACAAGAAAACAGGGTCTGGTAGTTGTGAATAAATAAAAGAATCTGTCAGTTTAAAGTTCGTGAACGTGGGTATACCAGTCGGCACTGTCCGCAATTGAAAGTGAGGCTTTCTTGTGCTTTACCTTTCAAAGCTGTCTGTAGCAATGTCGGCCAGGCTTCGATGGGCCATTCTAGGTTTAAAGCAATTTTCTCTAAGCGTTGGAAATATTTATCTACGTCTTTTTCGTTGAATGTAGGCATATGTTGGATTTGCCTGGTGAGA